ATGTAATTCTTTCATTCTTTGCGCATACGGGACGTATATGCTTCGGAAAAATCATTTATCGGATCTTTTCATGCTCGCGTGCGTTCTCTTGAGTCTTGCATGGCAAGCTTATACGGTTTTAAAAGTATTATGATATTATGAGGAATGTTGAAGGCATCATACTTGTTAACGACTGTGGAATTAATGGAGTGTTTAACTTAGGACTCACCATACGTCAGGAGGGAAGTAATTTACGAGAAAGCATTACATCAACTTGGCGAATCGGATATCCATGTCGTGTCTAATGTGGTTAGCTATTATAAGATATGTGGTCAGATCTCTTCAGCATGTAATTCTGTCTATGCAATCTCGTAGCGTAATCCGCGACCATGACATAAACCTAATTTTGCTTCAAACTCAAAAACCTAGAACCCTACTCTAACTTCACATCCCTCAGAGCCTCCAATCTAGACATCTCCAAGCGGTTTGCCCTTTTGAGCAAGCACGGAACTTAAATGTCGACAGAAAGTTCAGATGGAGATCAAAGATGTAGGCAGACCAAACAGGCTTTATATTATTATTCGACATTGATTCTAGAGACATTTACGCTGATATCTTTAATCAATTTTTAAGGTGACGTGACGGATTTTTATCGGGCATTTAAACGACCATGACTAACTTAAATTATCGTTTGCATAGTGTCTCGGCATATGCTTTAAACCAATTCAATGTGCCGGTTTCAGTATCTCTAACATTGCTCTTTATTTAATATTGAAAGGTCTTGGAAATAACTAATAAGGTAAGGATATGGTATTGAATATCTCTTGGTCACTTGTTAAGAAATAAAATAAGATTTTACCTTTCCAATGCATAGTTTTTTCTTGTGGACTATATATAGTTTACATTGGAAATCGAAACGTTTGTTATTGAACTATGCTTACTAAGTATCTAGGACACATTCATTAACACATCTCGAATTTCAAATACCATGAAACATTTGAATACATATAGAGGTTCATTATATTCTGAAAAATGAAAGACCAGGGCAACCAGTTAACTGCAAACTCACGACCTTGCTCAAAATGCAAGATGAATATATATAATATCATCGTTAGACAAACTTCAAACACAATGAATCAATGCCGATAGAAATGTACAGAAGAACAAGAACAAGAACTAGAACAGGAGGAAGAAGAAGAACAGTGAAAAGTAATTAAGAATCAAGAGCATTAAAGCCTAGCCTCTTCATTGTCTCTCTCTCTCTCTCCATTTGCAACAACTGTCCAGAACCACATTAAACATGGACTGAAAAAGGCTAGACTGATGCTCTCATTCACTTCTACCATTCTTGACTAAAACCGAAAAATAAATTACATGCACTGATGACCGGAAGATGAGATCGCAGTCATATACGTTCGCTTGGACTCGTAGCATTTAATTTTGACAGTAGCTAAAGAAAAGCTACAAAAATAAAAACGAAGTACCTACCAACAGCTAGTGACTTTATTTATTTTTTTCTCCTCTTCTTCCTCTAGTTGTGTAGAGGATTTGGACCTGTGTGAATTATTCTCTTATCTTCTTCATATACCTTGTCTGGATCTCCATTGGCATTCGCAACCTCGTCGCTACTAGGGTTAGAAGGTGCATGGACGGTGACTGCGTGAAACGTCTTCGCTTTTCTTGGTAGAGACTTGACGCTGCCGGCAGCAGATCGGTCGCTGCTAGTCGTCGTCGCTCCAATTTTGTCAGACGTCTCCGAAGAGACGCTTCTACTAGTCGTCACCCTGGTGCTCTTATCTTGCACCGCGAGAAGCAGAATCAGCTCGGCCGAGAAAACTACGAGGACCCATAACAAGAAAACTGCGCTCCTCGCTCCAATACAGTGTCTCCTTCCTGTTCTTGTTCTTGCAGGCGCTGCAGAAGTTGTCATTGCACTGACTTGAGTAGAAAGTCCAAAAATGAGATCTCTTACGCTGGAGCAGACTTGAGAGTGCGACGAAAAGTGGGGTTTTGACTGAATTCTGAGAAGAGAACCTTCTGTGGGAATTTTGAGAGAGAGAGAGAGAGAGAGAGAGAGAGAGAGAGAGAGAGAGAGAGAGAAGGGAAGAGACACAAAACCTAGGTTCTTGCTTATCTTATGAGTCCAGTCATATGACCCTTGATTCCTGGAACCTTCTTATAATTTCTTACAATGCAGAGTGTGTGTTGTGAATATCTTGGAGTCGGGAAACCCTCTTTCTGAGCTTTGATTTTTGGGTGTTTTTTGGCATCTGGTGGCTTGGTCGCTTCTGGGTTTGGTGCAGTTGTGTCCTTTCTTATTTGTACTGATATTGCTCGGAGAGGGTGTTGTGGGACTGTCCAGTATTAATAGCCGTTGTCTCCGGAAAATTTTATAAAACTTTCTGTATTTTATTCCCCAATTTGCGTAGTACACTGCAGTGAGGTTTGAAGAGGGCGTGGGTCAACAAACTTTGGCTCGTTGGACTCGGACCCCTCTTCTGTATTCTTGCTATGATTGGTCATAGCAGGTTGTGCTCTTGTTGGGTTAGCATGGATTTTGTATCTTTAACACCCTTATTGATCAAGAATCAACACAGCATTCTTTGTGACAAAGTCGAGTTTGGTTATTTTTCCATAGTCATTAGAGAATCGCGAAATGTTGTAATATAGAATTGCTTAAAAGGGCTACACACATATATATATAGACATGCGCGTGCCCACACATGTAGGTCGATCCTTTATCACATATCTTAAGTGCATCCACCACTCATAATTATCAAGTAAATTTTTCGAATAGAGTTAGGAATGCACTAAACTGATGTGATCAACAGAATATGTGGCATGGCATCCATGGAATGATGCACTTACCTTTGTCTGCACTTACCTTTAATCTTTCAATAATCTAGGAGCACATGGTAGAGACTCGGCTATCTGAAACTCATGCAACACCTTGCAAGTTCAATTAACTAGTTAAGTATTGCATTTGACAAGTAGAAGTGATCCTAACCCACAACAATTTGCATGCAGTCGATGAGACTCCAACGAGTGATCTCCAGCTTACGAACGGGAATTCTTCCGAAGTCCCAAACCAATTGCGTCAACCCTGAAGTAGTTTTGCACTTGATTATAAAAGACTGCATTCCGGATTTATGACCGTGCATGGAAGATTTGCTCTAAAAGCATTCTTGAACAAAACAACTGGGCCTCAGAGCAAATGAGTTCCTATAATGGCTGAGGAGGGTTAAGAACCCAACTAGTCCATGGGAGAGATTTCCTTCTATGGGCTTTAGCGACCCAATCCGGGTCGGCTTTCCTGTGACAGTGGGCTAGTTGAATCTGCTTTGAATCGGCCCATCCAGTTTCTGCATTCTCTGATAAGTACTTCAATTTCCCACGAAGGTTGAACAGCTTCAGTTAGACTAGCTTATCATGGATAAACTATGAGATTCTAGTTTGAAGGGTTTGATCCGAGCGAGAGATAAAGAAGTACTTCAAAAGTCTCTAGACACGCAAGGGTTTCTGCAGGGGGTACCGAGAAGACCTTCACTGAAAGTCTTGACGCATGCAGGCAATTGCTCCGTCGTATGAGCCTTCTTCAACCGATGCATAGATATTGAGCTTGAGAGGGTACTTCCGGCGGGTGGAGTCCAGACCCCAAGTAGATTTTTATTGCTTCTTCGCTGGGATTTCCGTAACTGAGCTCCATTGCAAGTAGTTCTCGTTCATGGCAAAGGATTCTTCCACTGTCTGTTCTCTGTTGCCTGAAGACAACGTTATTTCTAGGTTTCCACGTATTCCAAAGGCACTCCGGCGACCAGATCTAACGATGTTGAGTTCGGATTTGAGTTTTAACAGTCGGCCAACCAGTCTTCAATCCCGTCCATCCCCTGATTTGCAAACTGAATATATGAGAAAAATATGCTCCATGTATTCTGGGTATTTTGGGTACAAGCTTGTTCTTAAGTATTAGTAGACATGTTAAAATGGGTCCAAACCCCATTTAATAACCTAAAAGTAATTAAATGGGTCATAAAAAATTTCGGCCAGCATAATAGGTCTATAAAATAAAGTGGCCAAAATAAGTGGGTTATGAATGAATCCATTATGAATCCATTTACAATCCACTTAACCCATTCATGGGAATGTTAAAACAGCCGGCAAATTTCTTCTCGGGTTAGCGTTAATGCCTTTTAATACCATTGATCAACATTTTCTCGATCGGGGCTCTACAAGGTTTGGTGGTTTGTTTTTTTTAGGACCACTGTAATGGTTCCATCAGGATATGACTATAGCTGTGACTATTAGGAATCCGAAAATTTTCCTGGGGCATTGACTGCGATTGCAAAATGCTTATACAATCGCCCAGTTTTGCTTCTTTCGGCATGAAACGATGCATTGGAGCTGGAAAAGTATGGACTGTAGGTTTGTCGATCCGGTGTCTCCGGTCTAAGCGGTAGAGCCGCTGGGAAAAGAACGAAAAGTTGGCTATGACGCGCCCTGTAATTGCTGGGATAGTCTGGTTATGCAATCATCCTTAGGGCAATCGTTTCTACTGGGCTAGAGGATTCCCATGTTTTTCATCTTGTTGGCAGGCGTTTCGAAAATCTCAGGGATCAATTAATTTCCGAAGGTCGGAGTGCAGCCATCATCTGCTTCACGTTGAGAAATTGTTTTGCGGATTTTATTCACAGACAACAGCAACGAGTGAATATTGTCCCTAGATAGATTTTATGTTATAGCAGATATTGGTCTGAATCTTGCAAGTAGAGATAAGGTATTAGTGACACCTTCATGTTTCAGTAAATTGCACGTTAATGTGGGCCAGGGCTCGTACATAAGCTGATGAGCAAAGCCCATGCTTCCTCTAGCAAATTTGGACATTGCAGCAGGCCCATGGTCCAAAAGTTGTAAGCTTGACTCCTGAATTCGCGCACGTGATGTCTTGAGCTCCGGCACGTGAGGTTGTCTGCGTTCCCGTCCCCTCTGCTTTCTAGGGTTTATGTATTTGCTGTTTTCTCCCGACCAAACGATTTCATCCGTCGTCGTTCTCTCCGTTGGAGCTGCCGGGGCCTGAGCAGAAGGAGCTTTTCCGCTTGCTCGGGAAGTAATGGGCGGTGGAGCAGGTTCCGGCGCCGGCGAAGGGTATGTGCCTCCGCCGGAATTCGTGGAAGATTCGAAAGAAGCTCTGGTCGATCTCGACGCTTCCGACTCCACCGAACTTTGGCTCATCCAGTGGCCTACCCAGATGGTACCGTGTCACCATTCCCTGCCCTTGGCCCTCTGTTTTGTCTGCAGAAATTTAAGAACAATGCCGAACAGTGCATACATGGCTCGTCTTGTCTGGTCTGGTCTGGTCTGGTCTCTTTGTGTTTGATTGGTTTTTGCTCTCCTGAGATTTTCATGTTGTGAGATTGTGAGGTTTGGGAGATACCATCCAGTTTTTGTTTTCAGTTAGATGGTGTGCGTTCGCACGTTTTCGCAGTTTATCTGCACAAAGTGATCGATGTTCTTGCGTAAAAATGCTATCTTGAATGTTTTGGGTTAGCATATTGGCATTGGATCATGGATGTGATTGTGGCGATACCCCTTTCTGGTCACATTGCAGCCTCCTGATTTAGATGGCCAAGAACTCACACTCAAGCTTCATCGTGACGGGAAATTGGGGAGTTGTGAGGATTCATCTGGTAATCGTCAATCCTTTCCATAGACGAACAGATTTTCATGTGCTAAGTAGGATTCTACTTGTGGCTTCACTTGCTTAGCTGTCTTACTGTGTTGTTGCTCTCTGTTGAAGGCAAGGAATATGATGTGGTTAGCTATGCTGCTCAAGAGCCCGATGCAACAGTTTTCGTGTCCTCTTCCTCAGGTCCAAGATTTGGTATGCATTGCTACCCATTTTGATGCCCTTTATTTTATTTTTTCGAAGTTTTTTCTGCCGTGCCTTAAGTATAGTAGTTGAGGGCGTTATCTCTAAGTTAATGTGTTGTGCAAATTATACTCTAATATGAAAGTACACTTCCCTTCTCATGTTCATCTGTTTTTGCGTATTGAGCTGTGTCATGCTTGATATGTTCTAAGGTGATATCTGCGAAAGTAGCTTCCTCGGATATTTGCTCTTCAATAATTTGCTGATGTGAGTTGCCAAGCAGCTTCCAGAAACAGGAAGGCATGAAAATTAAAAAGAAACAGCTTAGTGGAGCTGAACTCCAGTTTAGTGGAGATAATTCCTATCAATTGCAAGAATTGTATCAGCCAATTTGTAGAGCTCGGAGTCAAGGCACAAAAATTTATCCAAAATCCAGATTAGTCGTAGGCTAGCAGCAAGCAGGCTATTACCTTAGACATTGATGACCAATTCATGATAAATTAGGCACTCTTAAGTTCTAGTATCAATTGCTTTGATATTGTTCGTCTTTTTTTTTTTTTTGGACACACTGGTTTCGTATTTCTCAGCTATGTTTGATTTGATAGACGAACTTTAAGGATAGTCTATGTTTTTTGATTTGGACACACTGGTTTCGCAGTCAGCTATGTTTCTTTGGACACTCTGATAAATTTGTTGTAGTTGACTTTGTGTCTTAAATATAATGCTTCTATTTTTGACAGTTGGGAAGATTTCAAGGAGAGTCTCCCTGGTGCGCTACCCAGATCCTAATGAGCTCAAGGAACTTCGGCAATTAGGACCATTGTCTCAGACACCATCCAGAACGTCAGTTACAAATGCCTCTAGTCAATTTCCCCACTTGACATCAAACAGTATACTGAGAAGTTCACGTTCATCCAGAGGAAACACAGCCTCCACTCGTAGCAGTCGGCAGAAAAGCGGTATATCTTATGCTGGAGAGACATCAGAACCATACAAGAGGAGATATCCTCATGAGTCCACTGACTCCTTGGGTTTGGGGAATAGTACTCAAGACTCTGGGCGAGGTCATGGCAGCGCAATAACTGCACAGTTCTCAGAGCATTCCCGAGATCACGGCTCAGCTGCTTCATCTCTGTCAAGGGAGCATTCTGACGGGAAATCGAAGAAGAAGAAGAAGAGAATTGAAGACTGAAACTGCTCGGTGTTTGCTCTGTATGCTTCATGTGAATTGTTTGTGTTTTCTCACCGAGCATGACTTCTGAATTCCAGGGGGGTTATGTTCATTAATATATGTTTAGATCATTTCATAATGGAGTCTTCCTTGAGCCAGGGTCTCGGGGGAAGGCAAATCACGGAGATTAGACCTTTCACCGACTCATGTCATTGTTGGCGCTGGCGACCCACCGTCGACTCCCGACTCCTGCCCATAGTCATTTTTACGGGCGAAAGTCTCTTGCCTAGTCTGTGATTTACTATTTGGGCCTCTTTGGAAGAGCCCTGCAGCTTGCTGTTAAGAGGTGAAATTACTGATGTAGCAACTGACATCGGAGAAGAGAAATACAGAATAGCTAGCTGCATTCTCATAACCAACAGCTCCTCATTTCATTAGTATGAGAGCAAGATTGGGTGAAAACGACTTGCGCAAATGTGGTCCATCTCTTGCACGGAGTTTGTAATTGCGGATTCCTGTCTTCATGAAGAGCCTTTTCTGCTCATCTGTTTTGGTTGAGTAAACTGGTCGCGCCAATGGCGGCAATCGTCGCGGTCACTACTATTAAATCTCGCAAGACAGGTGAAATGACTCGAGTAAGACCAAGATGTGGTTCAAGAGCTATTTACCAACTGATCTTTCAACAATCGATTCGATGGAGTTTTCCTTCAGACACGACGAACTCGTCTGAATGATTCTAGTTTATCACGACTCGGACCAAAACCTACGAACATAAGAAACTTAGGTCGTGCTCATCATGAACTCACCGACCACCTTGATATCATGTAAAGTAGGATGGAAATTAAAGGAAACCAGAAGTCACGATTCCCGTCGCAGGAAGAATTGGAACTCTACGTTCTAGCATCGCACAAAGCATTAAACATAGGAGGAATCGCACGGGATACAAATTGATCTCATTGACTAATTGGAACTCTACGTTCTAGCATCGCACAAAGCATTAAACATAGGAGGAATCGCACGGGATACAAATTGATCTCATTGACTCGCACTTTCGAGCTCGACAACGTCGTTCGACATCGAGCGAAAAATCCGCCCGACCAACAAAATCCCGACAACAATACGACTGAAATCAATCGACCACGACCGTACACGGACCGGGATCAATCGTGCAGTGTCCCCAAGATGTCTTCATCCCTGAACAGGTGGTACTCCTTCTCCCCGAGCTTCACCTGCGTCCCTCCGTACTCCGGCAGGAGCACCGTGTCCCCTTCCTTGACCGAGACCGGGATCGCGTTCCCGTGCGCGTCTCTCGCCCCCGGCCCCACGGCCACCACCTTCCCGGAGTTCAGCTGTATTTTTTCCCAGGAACGCAAACGGCTCGAATCAGATCGAAACGAGACGGAGGACGGTGCATCGACGGGACGTATGTATGGACGCAGGAGTTTACCTTGGAGGATTTCTCGGGAAGCAGGATGCCGGCGGTGGTCTTGGTAGGAGGGACGATCTTCTCCACCAGCACGCGGTTCAGCAGCGGCACTAGTCGCTTCGCCATTCTTCTCCTCCTCCTTCAGGGATTCGAGCGGTCGAGCTTTAGGGTTTTAGGGTGGGGGTTTCGAAGCCGCGAGAAGGCGACGATGAGGGTGTCTGAGGGGCTTTAAAACCTGAGAGAGAGACTTGAAGCTTCGTGAAGAAAAATGGAAGGTTCTAGGGGCTAGGGTTTTGCGGTTGGGCGATGATGGCTTGAGGAATGAACGTTGGGGAGAAGACGAAATGGGCCTTGTGTTATATGGGCCACATTGTTAGCTCACAGTTTGGCTCGACGGCAGCTGATGGGCCTCTCGACTCGAGCCTCGGTCGTGATCGACTAAGGTGTCTCCGTCCTGTCTTGACTATGCATACATGATCTAGCGACACGATAAGCCGGGGTTTGAATTAGGGTTGAGCATGGTTCCAGGATAGAATTGAGAATCGGAGAATTGGACCGATTCTCATCGGTCCGATTTCAGGTTGCAGGGTATGCAGGATAGGTTCAAGGTTCAAAAAATTAGGGAACCGGTTCCGACGGTTGGAACCTAAAACTTGGAACGAGTCTTTGTGTTTTTCTTGTTTAATGTCTTCATGCAATCCTGCCATATTTCATGGCGTCCGATTATGAGTGTGTTATCTAGAACCATTAGTTTAAGCTTCCATTTTCGGCGATATCAATGATTGAGACATTTACTTTGTTAATATTTCATATTCTTTGTGTGTATAAATATAAGCTGTAGCCAGTGGATTGTAGTAGTAAATTGTAGTAATTAGAGGTGATGATTCACTACAATCGTTTAATTATGAATATAGGTGGAACCTAAGTGGACCCCAGAACCGACCCCAGAACCTATGATAAAGTAAGTGTTAGGGTATGCAGGGTAGATTTCATATTTCAAAAAATGAGAAACTTATTTTGACGAGTAAGTTCTAGGTTCCACCGCTCACCCTTAGTTCGAATTTACCAAATTCTCTTTGGGTTTGCCCCTAAGTTTCGAGCGATTTGTGAGTGCAATTAGACGACTGTCTAGACCTATCAAACGGGTGGATCATATCGGGTTGAAAATGGTCCGACCCAAATAGACCTATTTAATCCGTTTTGACCCATTTTTATGTAATATAAATCTAATGACCCATACCCAACCCGACCCATACACAGTACATATCCAAGTCAACCCATATTACTAAAACACTTTCATATTTAACTCAATCTAGGAAAACTCATACCCAAACCAAGATAAGAATGCAGAGTGAGTGAGCGAGCGTGAGATTGAGTAAGGACAAGAGAGATAAGTTGAGTTTAAATAAGGTGTAAATCTATTTATGATCCATTTAACACCCACATAATGTTTCTACCCATTTACTTAATATAACTAACCCATTTATGTAAATGGGTTAAGAAATGAGTTTATGACTATTTTGACGGGATAAGGACACTGGGAGTGCCATAACTTTCGTACGGCGCTCACTTGAGTGCCATAACTTTTTTTTGGCTCACTTGAGTCCCACATCGGAGTAAAATAGATCATTTGAGTGTCACTTCCGGCGAAAATAAATCACTTGAGTGCCATTTCCGGCAAATGAGCTGACATGGATTTTTTAATTAATTTTTCGTCCGACGTTGATTTTTTAATGTTATTTTATTTTATTTTATTGATTTTTAAAATTTTTCTTTTTCTTTATCTTTTTTTTTTTTAAGGTTGATGAGGGTCGCCAGTGACCCTCACCTGTGACCCGCGAAGGCTCTCGCCAAATCTGGCGAGATCACCTCGCCCGCGGCCACGAACGCCCTTGGCGAGGCCATCGCGGTCTCACCGGCCGCGGGTGCGGCGGCAAGGCTCTTACCAGATCCAGCGAGGCCGCCTTACCCGCGGCGACGAAGGCTCTCGCCAAATCCGGCGAGGCCGCCTTGCCCGCGGCCACGAAAGCCCTTGGCGAGGCTGCCTCGCCCGTGGCGGTGAAGGCTTTCGCCAGATCTGGCGAGGCCGCCTCGCCCGCCGCCAGCAAGGCTGCGACGGCCAAGGGCATGGTGGCCCTCGCCCAATCTGGGCGAGGCCTTCACAGCCGGCAAGGGTCGCTGGTGACCCTCGCTGGCATTGAAAAAAGTATTTGCAAAAATAAAAATAAAAAAAAATTCAAAAATTCAAAAAAAAAATATTAAACTATTGTCTACGTCAGCTCCGGCGAAGCCACATCAGATTTTCCGAGTGCCAAATGGCATTTGGCACTCAAGTGATCACTTTTTCAAATTTTTAGCACTCAAGGGAACCAAAAAAAAATTATGGCACTCAAGTGAGCGCCGTACAAAAGTTAAGGCACTCCTAGTGTTCTTATCCCTATTTTGACAGTTCTACGGCTGTCGTATTCGTTTGGAATTAGTCAAATGCTAAAAATAGTGACCCATCACTTGACATTTGGTTGATTAAGTGATTGCTGAGTTGGGCATTTGCGCTTTCTAATCAAGTAGGACTATGCACGAGCAGTTTTAGAATGGAACATCCATCTATTAATGGGAGTATGACCAATTAGATTGGACATATTCCACCCTCTTTGTTTGCTTCTATCTGTAGCCACTGGTATAACTAAGATTACAATGTTTTGTAACTACTTGATTCGATCTTTCGTTTGGACACCTATGTATAATGATGTTCAAAAAGAGGAAATCATTTTCCTCATTTTTTAAAGTGTTTTTTCTATAGACGGAAGATGTTTTCCTTTAACTTGTTTATTTTCTATGAACCAAAGGCCGAAAATTCCGGAAAACTTTTTCCGGAAAGTCATTTTCTGTAAAACAAATGAAGCCCATGACTGAAAAGAAATTGAAAAACTCCATCTTCTTCATGTAAACCATCTCCTCTATCACGCTAAGACCACACTCACCGCACTACCACCCTTGTTGGGCCGCCGCCTTTGCCAATTCTAGTTCAAGGACCTCCGGAGAACCAAGCTCAACACTGTCACCGAAGCAGGTGAAGATCCTCGACCTCATGTCAAAAGTCGATGGAGGTCCTCGACCTCATATCGGAGGTTGCGAACCTCCATCTTCGCTGATTTGGGGGTCCCAGAGCTCCAACCCGAGAACGCAGATCTCTGTAGGCATGTTGTTGACACCGAGAGAGAGAGAGAGGAGCATTATCTAAAACTGAGAACACGGGATGGCCGCGGTGCACATCAGACGAGCAATGGTAGCGACAGTGACAGCGATGGTGCCCGAGCGACAAGCGATGGGGGACGGCATGGTGCCCAAGTTGCAATAACTTGGTCGAACAACGGACTTGGCTTCTTTTTCGCTTCCCTTCCAGCCTTCGCCAACTTAGCATCGCCGCTTCTCGACATCGAGCTTGGAGTCAAGACCACAAGCGATTCCTTCCCATCGCTGTTGCTGCGGCAAAACAGGTCGCGGAACCTCCACTGCTTTGAGGATGGCCCCGTCAAGCTGCTCTTCTTGCACTTGAAGAAGTTCCATCGTCTTAGACTGTGGATTGGAGTTGGTAAACCAAATGGGCTGAATATGGGTCTTATGCAAACGCATGTAGAGCCAAAAAGAGTTGGTCTAAGATCTTTTAAACCCATTTGTAAAATTTTAAGTAACCCATTTGCAACTTGACCCACTGAAATTGAGTTGAATCATGAGTTTCTAACCTGTATTGATACCTTTAGGGAGTTGTCTCACAAAATCTCACATGATATTAGACTAAGAGGTCTTGAGTTCCAATCCTCCAGGCCTCTATTTGCCTCTCCAATTACATATATTCTTAATTTTTGAGAACTGGTAACAATGATCCTACAAAATTTCACAATTTCATCCACACGTATTAAGTTCAGAGATGTCCAGCTTTTATCACTTTATCTGACCGAAAATCATGCAATATAGAATATGATCCCCGCCAAGATCTTCTTATAGAATATGATCAGCTTCTGCAACCAATTGTGGCCTAGATTTAACACTCTATCCCGCTTGTGAGTCTGTCCTTACACATGCAACATACTGATGAGACGAAATGACATGAATTGAGCCCTTAGTTGATCAATGATGTTAGACAAATCGATTTTTCCTCAAAGTTTAAGCGTTTCAAAAAGGGACCAAACTATATATATATGCCATATATATATATATATGGCATATTTACTTAATGCAAAAGACCGAGGTCTAGTAAATCTCTGGTATGGGTTTCGAATCCAATATTAACCATTAATAACGGAGCAAATTTCACATTCGTTGATATGTATATGTACCGTATATTAGTAAGAAAGTTGCTACAGCGAGAGCATAAAAGGCAAAAGGACAAGTGAATCAACATGCAAAGTAACAAAAACATCGCCCACATTGGGATTGGAACAGAAGCAAGCAGGAACGAAGCTAGACTGTTTTGGCAGTGGGGGCAGTAATCTAATGATAAAAGTTAATTTTCAATCAATCAAGCTTATTTTATTATTGTTATCCCCGAAAGATGCACGAAAGTTTAAAATTCCTGCTAAATCTATGCAAAATTACAAATACTAGACACAATGACAAAGCATAATAGGAGTTAATTATGGGTCGACATTTACTGAGTTTGTTTTAGTGGAAACATGAAAAAATTAGCAAAGCAAGCTTAAATTTTTCAAGAAAAATACACATTAACTTTAAAATAAATAAAGTCAGTGGGACAACTAGAATAGTCAGCAGAGTTAGTATAAACTTCCTTTTTTCTTACTAATTAAAAAATGTGACAGCTCGTTTAGTTGGCAAGAGTAGCCATTCTTTTCCTCGTGGAGTAGCTATTTTCTTGATGTTGGGACCAAAAGTAGAACTTTTGCAAGCACATCTATCTATATAAATCATATTTGGTGATATTCTTTGAACGTATTATTTGCGTCTCAAGTTCTATGGCCCCTTTTCTGGACAGCGGACGTGACCCGATTTGGTAACCGAAGATCAAATTTTGAGAGATTTGTCGCGAAAGAAGTACCGACTAACCCGACACAACAAGTGAATTCGATTCCGATAGAAAGTTAGGTTTAGGGATTTTATCTTTGCTTTGGTACATCTACTTTTATGTGCCTCTCTATGCGGCTCGCTATAATGTTGTGAAGTTAGGTGTAATAGAGGATTACGATACTCTTTAATTATGTAGCGATAATGACACAAACAGTTATTGAACTTTGGCTCA